CTGGGCCTGCTGACCCTGGGTGAGGAGGGGGGATTGATGGAGAAGAGAGACTTCAGGCCCCTTCAGGATTCAGTCACTCAGGCCTTGACTCCCTCCACCCACATTGAGGTCAGAAAACAGAGTAAATGCCAAAGAATGCCAAACCGATTTTTCTCCTAAATAAGATCACCTGTGAGGTCAAGTCTCCTGTAAGGGGGGAAACCAAAGCAGGGAAAAGAAAGAGATCCATGGCCTTGACCCCTGCCCCCTTGGATACCAGTGCCCGTCCGTCGCTATGTGGTTAACTGAGGAGCTGATTGGCTGGCAGGCATGGACATACTTGGGGTCACACAGCTGCTCGCAGACCTCAGCTGGCTTGAGGCTCTCCTTGGGGGTGTGCTGGGAGCTGGCTTCCACTTTGGGGGTTCAAGGGGGACTTGGTGGGGGCTTCCCTGGTGGTGCAGTGGTTAAGAATCTGCCTGCAAATGCAGGGGACACAGGTTCGAGCCCTGGTCTGGTAAGATCCCACATGCCATAGAACAACTAAGCCCCTGTGCCACAGCTACTGAGCCTGCACTCTAGAGCGCGCACACCACAACTATGGAAGCCCACGTGCCTAGAGCCCAGGCTCCGTAACAAGAGAAGCCACCGCAATGAGAAGCCCGCGCACAGCAACTAAGACCCAACGCAGCCAAAAATAAATAAATAATTTTTTAAAAAGGCGGCGGGGGACAGACTTGGGGGAATGCACAGCCTCACGGCAGGGATGAGGTCCCCTAGGATCTCTTTTAGGGCAACAGACCCAAGGATTGGGGTCAGTTGTTTGGGAGTGGGCCTGGACCCAGAACTCAGCCAAGAGAAGCTGCAGTCCCGTCCCTGACTCCCAGGGCAAGTAGGACCTGGCTGGCCATGCCGCAGGCCAGGTGGCTGGAGGCAGGACTTGTATTCTCCAGCCTTCATGGCCGGCTTGGCACTCTGGGGTGGGGTGGGGATGATTCTGAGGGGCTCTGAGGGGAGTGGGAGGATTTCCTGACCTCAGGAGGAGCTATGGGGCTGCCCCGAAACATGGTTAAGGGGTTATTCTAGGTCTTGGAATCTCCTACAGCCTCAGAGGCTCCAGTCCTAATGGGGCCCCCTCCCCTTTCTGCACCGGGCATCTGGGCCTCCACCCACCTGCTTGGGGTGGGAGGTCTGGCCCAGGGGAGCTGGAAAGTGGCTGCAGGCCAGGACTGGCGTCTTCCCACAGGGTCTCCCTACATCCTTCCCTCTTCCGAACTCTTTCTCTCTTCCCAGCCGTTTCCCCACCCACCCCACCCTCCCAAATGGGTTAAAAATAGCGAGGCTGCTACCACATCAGTAGCCTGAGCAACTGTTTGGAGTGGGGTGGGCCCTCTGGGAGATGGATCAGCCTTGTGGTGGTCCCCACTGGCTGGAGACAGCCTACCTCAAACTGGGATCCACAGCTTGGTCTGGGAGCAGGAGCCTGGGTCCTTTGCCTGGCTCTGCCTAAGTGTCCTGAGCCTCATAGATGCAGCTACCCATGGGTGGAGTCAGGAAGATGGGCCTTCTTAGGCTGGGAGAACGCTGGGGGACACACAGCCAAGGAGCACTGAATCTCTGGCTCTCCTCACCCAGGGATGCGGGACAGCTGAGGTACAGCCCTGAACAGTTCTAGGCAATGGGGGGATCCCCAGGAGTCACCTTCATGGAGTCCCTCCTGTTGGGGTGCAGGACACCTGGGATGCACCCCCCTGCCTACTGCCCCGCATGGCTGGGAATTTCCCAACCAAGAGAGACAAGGATGAATTGAGAGGCCGCCCCCACCAGTGCTGGGACAATGAAGCCTTATGCTCTCAAAATCAGAGCAGGGGTAGGAAGGCCAAGGGCAGGTGGGGGCCTAGCTGTCTGCACCCAGGGAAGTACTGCTTGCCAGGAACCCACTCAGACCCACTGCCAAGCCGGGTACAAGGGGATCCTGGCCAGAATCCTGCGTGGCCCACTCAGGGAGGGAGACGCTGGGTTCATCAGGCAGACAATGCCAGCTCCTCAATGGTCTCTCTGTGCAGGGCTCTCCCTCAGGACGGACGGAAGGAAGGAATCATCTCTGCCTCCCGCTTCCTGCTGGGCGGATATCAGGGCACCGGAGCTCCCACCCCGCCCGCACATCTGGGGTTCAGCGGGATCCAGGGCTGACCGCTGAGGGCAGGAAGGGATCCTGGCTTGGGCGTGGGATTCTCTTCTTGTCAGTCGGCGATCCTCAGCCCTCAGTGGCAGGGGTAGCAGGAAAGGCCCGAGGGACTGGGGCGGGGACGGGGGGGTGGGGACCGTTGAACTCCTTCCGGGGGAGGGGCCACAGCCTCTCATCTCTCGCCAGGACTCAGGACCCCGAGGCCGAGGGGAGACTGGCAGGTGTGCGGAGGCGGGGTCCCAGGTCCCCGGCCCTACCCTCCCACTCGCCCCGCCCTCTCCGCCTCCGCGGCGCCGACCCCGGCCCAGGCCGCTTTGTCCCGCCGAGGGCGCGGAGCCGCCGCCGCCCTACAAAGCTGCCTTTGTGCCCGGCGGCCTCCGCAGGACCCGATGACGTCAGCCTCCGCGACCGGCCCGGCGGGGCCCAGCACGGGCTGCTGCGCCCTCTGGCGGCCAAAGGCGGAAGAGCTCGCCTGGGAGCCCCGCTCAGCAGGGGAGGGCCTTTTACCGAGCCCTTCCCACAGGCTCAGAGGGCTGCAGACCCCTAGGTCCAGGTGCCTTGCCTGGAGCTAGGGGCTCACCCCACAGACACCCAGGCCCTGTCATCTGCTGCTCCCTCCTCCAGCAATGCACGAGCACTTCCCATAGCCTCATGGAAGGCTCTGCACTGAGAGCCCAAGGTAGCCATAGCCCTGCAGCTATCCAGCTGCCCTGCCGGTGGCTACAGTCACACTGAAGTGCAGCCACCTGCTTGTCCCTACCCTCCTCAGGTTTGGAGGGGGACTTCTGGGTCAGAGACCTTTCTGAACATGTCTCGAGGCCCCTGCTGTCCTCAACTTTCTGTTTAGTCAAGCCCAAGGGACCTCAGTTCTGGGCAGGGCTCTGGGCAATGTCTCAGGCAGGAAGAAGGGAGGGTGTGCAGGGGGCTGCAGTCCACCTGGCTGTGTGGCCTCAGCAACGCACACTGTCCCTGGGCCCTGGGCCTGGGAGGTCAGAAGTCACATTTCCTTCCGCACTAGACACACTGGACACTCCTCCTGCTCCCAATGTGGAAGAATCCCTTAGGAGAAGAGCTCCTTAAGAAATCTGCCCCACTGCTCCAGAAGGCTGCCCCAGACCCAAGACTGCAGAGGTGCTGAGGGAAGAGGGGGAGACATGGAGGCCCCAACATGTAAGATGACTAGTCCAAGGGGGTAAACTAAAGTGGTGAGTAGTGTGCCTGAGTATGACCTGCGAGCTGAGTGCCCAGGGCCCTGCCACAAGTGAGGATACAGGTCCAGACTACCATCACCTTGGCACATCTTAGCCTGGGTCTCTGCCCCCTGGAGAGAAGAATGCC